GTGTAATAATCATAGAGTGTTGGCTGTAATTTTTCTTTCATTTTAATACTGTGCAATACCGGTACCTAGCTGAATTCGAACTCGTGACACTGTGATTATGCAGTATAAGTTGAAACCACTCAAGCTGGAATCCAACAACAAATGTTATGTTCTTGTTATAACAGAATCATGTGACTCTTTTTTTGTTATGATAAGCTACTGTTGTCAATGTGTAAGAGTGTACTGATCCTAAACATGAAGCTGGTCAACAATTTCTCTGACTCATACAAAGCCTTAAAAAATCTGCAATTGCCATAAACTACCTTCCTCTGACAATGAAAGTAGTTTGAGGCATATTGTTATACACAGAAACGGATCAATGACCACTCACTTAGTTGGTGACATAAAGCAGTGAAACATATTTAATAAACTACAGTATAATATTTAAAAATGTGTTTTTCCAGTGCTGTTCTGCATAGCTACAATATTGTAGACTAATGTAACCCACCTGATGTTGTGGTTATTGAGAAAAAAACAAAACAAAAACAAAAAGAAAACTGATACATAGAGGTAACTTTATTGTGAAGGGTTGTGCATTTTCCACTGTCATATGGGAAAAGAAATAAGTAGAAGATTGATAAGTAACAAAACCAATCAGGAACTGTCAGGGTCCGGTGAGATACGCCTCACAAGTTCCGCCCTTGGGTAGAGTCAGGGGTGTGGCAGAACAGAAAAACGGAGTATGGACAGAGATTAGAAGAGCTACATGTTTTGGGAGTTCACATGGGTAGTGTGAGCAGAAAAGGCCAAAGACAGTTTAAGATTGAAATTGGATATATGACATAGCGACTATGGATACAGTCGTGAGGGAAAGGAAGAAAAAGAATTGGCACCAATTGAGAATTGGTCGTGGTAGCGAGTGAAAGCACTGTGAGCTAAAGATAGTAGCTAATGGCTAACGCCATTAGCTGGTGTCCGGGCCAGTAGTGAATTGGGGAATTCTACCTCGTAAGTGAGCGAGAAGCAGAAGGTAAAACTTTATGGTTACACCTATTTATTTTGTTGAATT